AAATAAGATATATATTTGTACGCTGTTTAGGCAGTCAAACAACCAACCAGCCATCCAGCCAGCCAGCCAGCCAACCAGCCATACAATCAATTGATCAATCAAGCATTCAATTTTAATATCAACCAGTTAGTCAATCAATCAATAATGAATGGATGAATCAATCAATCAGCCAACTGTTTTGAGCCAAGCCAAAAAGCCGAAGCGAAACATTTTTTGACTGATAAACTAAACACAAAAGCAAAAATCAACCAACCATCTAGCCAATCAAACAAAAAACTGAACAAACCAACCAACTGACCAACCAAATGACCAATAAACCAACCAACCAAACCAACTGACCAACCAACCAACCAACAAACAAACCATCCAACCATCCAACCAACCAACCAACCAAACCAATCAACAAACAAACCAACCAACTGACCAACCAACCAACCAATCAACCCAACCCAACCCATCCAACCAGGTTATCCAGACAACATACATAGCATAGGCTGGATGGACCGGCACCCAAAAGAATGGACATCGGATGACGTTTTTGACTGGATAACCACCTTAGAAGGCCACAGGCAACTGGACATAGAGGATGTAAATTTGGAAAATTTTAAAGGAATTGACGGCAGCAGGCTCTGTAGCATGGGAGTTGATGAGTTCCTAAAACGAGATCCCAATAACGGAGCCGCCATTTTCTTCCTAATTACGGATTTGTCGAAAAAATGTTAGAGTTTTTATGTTTTATTTGGCCATCGAATTTTATCGGACGAAAAATATTTACTACTGCTACTACTACTACTACTACTACTTCTACTGCTACTTTTACTACTACTACTACTACTACTTCTACTGCTACTACTACTACTTCTACTACTACTACTACTATTACTACTGCTACTACTGCTACTACTACCATTACACTGCTACTACTACACAGTTTATTTCATCTGCCAAGATGACTACTGGCCCGAACTGGACGAGTCGTGTTTCAAAGACATCCTTAATCTAGATTGTAAGTTCACTTTTAAAATAATAATAATAAAACTTAAAAAATCGTTTTGTCATTCATTTCTCTATATAATACATATATAACACTTAGGCATGTATGCAAATCTATACATTATTTTCGTCAGTCAGTCAGTCATTCTTTCATTCATTCGCTCTTTTATTCATTCATTCATTCATCTTACCATTAATTCTGTCACTCACTCGATTAATATTAATTCATTGGTTTTTTCAATCAATCAATCAATTCATTCACTCGTTTTTTCAATCAATCAACCAACCAACCAATCAGCAGCGGATGAGTGCATATTCTCTTTCGCCCTGCCAAACATATCGACATTCATGTCAACTACTCCGACTTCCGATCCGGACGTCCCGGACAACATTCCGTCGGTGGTGACTTCGTACCTTTCCCCGCCAATTTCACCGACGTCATCGGCCAGCAGCAGCAGCAGCAGTAGTGTTGCTTGCAGAGGGCAGACGAGTAAAAACAAAATGGCAACATGGTCAATGTTTGACCATGGATATGAATCGGCCAGTAAGTGTTTGTTATTGTTATTATTATTATTATTATATTATTATATTATTATATCTTAGATAGTCTTTTTAATTATTATTATTAGTATTATCTGCTTTCTTTGCGTTTTGACAGAGTTTGATTTACAGAATAAAAATAAAAAGTTATAATAATAAAAAAAATAATAATAATTATTATTATTATTGCAGTTGCTATAATATCATTCAGTCACATAAATCTTATAAGTTCTTGTTTATGTTCATAAATCTAAAAAAATTTTTAAAACACGATAATTTATTTGAGGCTTAATGTTCAATATACGGACAATAATAATTTTGTAATGTTAACAAAGAGCACACACACATACACACACACACACGCACACACACACACACACATACTCACGCACGCGTACACACATTCACTATGTGTCCTTGTTTGACAATCAAGGTTAATGACATGATGTTACCAATACAATGATATACGGTAAAATACAATACTCCACAGAACTTAAAGAGAGAGAGAGAGAGAGAGAGAGAAAGAGAGAGAGAAAGAGATTATTATAGAAACACAATAATTCGTAACATGATTAATGATAATACTATAAATATTAATGCCGTACAATTAAAGTTACAATCAGTAATTAATTAATTATTATCGTTGTCATCGTCATCATCATCAACGTCATTATTATTACGATTACTAATATATTAATAATACTATTAACGATTACTGATAATGTAATAAGTAATAATAGATTAATGAGAATTCTAATTAGGAGGTAATTATGTTAATTATGAGAGGGGTATATAGATATACTAATTTTATATATATATATATATATATAGAGAGAGAGAGAGAGAGAGAAGAGAGAGAGAGAGAGAGGAAGATAGAGAAAGAGAGAGGGAGAGAGAAAGAGAAAGAGAGAGGGAGAGAGAAACATTACGTACAAAACCATTACTAACAATGAATGTGATATAATAGCTATTAATAACGACATAATTTCTTGATAAGATATAGAGATAATCGTAATAATAATAATTATTATTACTAATTATAGTTAATTATAAGTATAATATTGTATATAATTATAATATGTATAATAAACAACATAGATAACAATAATTAATAAACAACTGTAACAGTAACAGCAGTAAGCAACAACAAAAAACATACAAACAAATACAATACTATTTTTACTACTACAACTGCTACTACTACTACCACTACTACTATAATAATAATAATAATAATAACAATATTATTGAAAATAATAATAAAAAATATGAATAAAAATAAATTCTTCTCTATACGTTTCGACAGACTCACCTGCTACTAGCTCTGACCATGGATCCGCAGACCACATGGAATTATCTCACTGTAACAGTCCCGATCCCGTTTCTTCCTTATCCTCTCCTTCCTATGTCCCATTTTCTTCCTCTTCTTCCTCTTCGTCGCCATCTTCTTCTACCTACTCTTCTGAAACTTCTTCCGGCAGAAAATCGAAGCCAAAAGGCGCGAAATTTACTCAGTCGAAGACGAAAACTATCGTGAAAAGACCAAAAAGTAATTATTATTATTATTATTATTATTATTTATTTATTTATTATCACTGTTATTTCTATTATGATTGACATGCGTCTGAATTTAGGAGATAATAAAACACATCATCAGCGCCAGCAGCTCGGTTCAGTTCACTTCAGTTCGGCAATTATTTTTTAGATTTAAAAAAAACTCCTACGTCAATTTATTTATTTTTTTGATTAAATTATTTTTAAATTTTAAATTAAGAGTGAAATAATTTTATTTATTTATTTTCGGATCCGTTCGTATTACTTAATGATGGAGATGATGATGGTTTGCTTGTTTTTTTCTAATAATTTCTTTCATTTTTGTCTGTTTGCTTGGGTTTTTTCGCTAAAATTGGGATCATCTATTCATTCGTTTGTTGGTTCATTCAGTCATTTTTTCATTCATTCAATCGTTCATTCATTCGTTTATTCAGTCATTCTCTCATTCATTTGTTCATTCGTTTGTTTGTATGTTCATCGTTTGTTTGTCCGTTCGTTCAAAGTCAAAATATTTTTTCTTTACCTCCTGTAGAAACCAAATCGACCCATTTATGGAGATTTATGAGGGACCTATTGGACGATCCGCAGTTCAATCCGGTTTACATCAAGTGGGAGAACAGAGAGAAAGGTGTGTTCCGGATCGTTCCCGGCCAGTCCAAAAACATCGCTAGACTCTGGGGCATGAAGAAAAATAATCCGACCATGACCTTCGACAAGATGAGCCGCTCGCTGAGGTGAGGGTTTGAAATTTTTGTCTTCTGATTTTTTTTGACATTTAATTCGCCATTTTGAGTTTTTTTTGTCTACTTTGTCCTATTTGGAATATTTTATTTAAAAATGTTGATGAAATTTCTGACAGGTGGTGTAGAGAATACGGTTTCCTATCAAGCGTACCTCAAAATGAAGGCTTTCCGAAGAAATTGTGCTTCAGATTCGGCGAGAGAGCCATGAATTGGAACGATTTTTGAAAGGCTACGCTGAATATTCAGTCGAATACCTGTGAAATATTTGCTAAATATTCGCTAAAAACAGCCACAGAATACTCAAAAGCATTTCCAGAATAACATATTTAATTTCTTATATCATTTTCATTGAATTGTTTATATATGTTTTTTTATTTAATAGATGAAAGACGTGTTTAATGATGATTATTATTGTGTAAATATTGTAATTTTTAATGAAAATTGTAAATAAATGAACAAACAGATAAATAGAATTGGCAATTAGCGTCCAACGGTAAGATGAATATATGATGGTATGCGTTGCATTTGACAAATACACACACCCACACGCACACACGCATACACACACACACACTCAGACACACACTCTATAAATATATATATATTATTTTTGCTATAATTTTGTAAAAATTTTAAATGTTAATTATACTTTTCTAGATTTTATATTTAAGATTCATCTATTATTGCGTTTCCATCAGCAAGTTTCATATAGATCTTATTAATCCTTATTTAAAAAAATCTTTCATAAGAATTCCATTACATTCAAGAAGATTTGAATGATAAAATGTTAATATTTTTGATATATAGATTTTTGATATATAGATTTTTTAATATTTTTGATATATAGATTTTTGTTATATGGACCTATATAGATTTATATTCACACACACACACTTATACAGACACACACCCATACACAATAAATTGTATCATTCCAAATGGTTGTATGTACTGTATACATATATATTGCTGTTTAATAAGGTGTTCTCATTACAATGTATATTCTACAACTCAGATGAATATCCAGACAAAGAATGCTGAATAATAATACTTTTTTCATGTTAATTTGTCAAATAATTTTTTTGATAAAAACTGATCAATAATTTACCTTAATTTAAATTTTTCGTAAAAAAATGTCCGGATTAAAATTATGATTATTTGAAATGAATATAGAAATAAATATTCATTTCTTAGATTTTTTTATTCATAATTTAATTGAAAAAACTGAGAACAATTTTGATAAAAAGTTTATTTTACATAACTTTAAATATTAATACTTCATTAATATAATTAATACCTTCAATAACTTTCACCAACCCAGTCGGTAGATGGCGCAAAAACTCGCTCGTTTAAACAGAGAAACATCCCATCCCTCTAAATAAATAGATAATAACTAGATCGAATCACATCATGACACGCGCGTCCTTAGCTCCTTCTCTCATCCTAGCAACCGCACTCAAAATGACGTCATCATCAGCGGTGATGTAAAAGTCGAAATTGTCGTTGCTACCTATTTTGGCGAGACCGAAATGGTTATACCTCTGCCCGTTGACGTTGTTGGCCCCATAGTTGCTTGGATTTGTGTATACTCGGTCGAAATTAACCAAAAAAGGGAAATTTTTCGAACGTTTTCGTCCCCAAATCCTCATCTGTGATTTCGCCCAATCCTTTTTAACCACGCTCGATGGACGTTGAACTAGCTGAGTGCATCTTTCGTTGGTCAGTTGGCTATCGGCAACTTTTTCCGAAATTTTTTCGTCTCGTTGGTCAGAAAACACCCGTGCGATTAAATGTATGTCACTTATTAAAATTATTAGTATGAGTGGGGCTAGTAACTTCATGTTTACCTAATAAGTTTGTAAATGATGATGTTGTTGTTGGTTGTTGTTGGTTGTTGTTGTCGTTGTTGATGTTGTCGTCGTCGTTGATGTTGTTGTTTTTAAAATTATTGTCTTATCAACTGGAATAAATTCTGCAAATATTAACTCTGTGACATTAACAACAATAAAACCCACATCAATCACCACCACCACAACAACAACAACAGCAATGGCATGCATTAATAAAGACATCAACAACAACAACAGCCACAACAACAACAAAATACCTAAAACAATTACATATATAAACAGACCAATGTCAAAAAGGGTACAAAATAAACACACAGGCATCTATCGGCGCAAAATTAAACGCTTTATATACACAAAACGGCGAGAATTATGTGATGACACTTATGTATAAACACACAGACATACATACACACATACATATATATATACACACGCGCACACAGACACAAAAACCATGCAAAAGGAAGATGATTACCGCCTAATTGATATAAAGACAGCTTCCTAAATGACTACAATACGTGAGTTTATTAACAATCATGTATGTATGTATGTATGTATGTATGTATGTATGTATGTATGTATGTATGCATGTATGTATGTATGTATGTATGTATGTATGTATGTATGTATGTATGTATGTATGTATGTATGTATGTATGTATGTATGTATGTATGTATGTATGTATGTATGTATGTATGTATGTATGTATGTATGTATGTATGTATGTATGTATGTATGTATGTATGTATGTATGTATGTATGTATGTATGTATGTATGTATGTATGTATGTATGTATGTATGTATGTATGTATGTATGTATGTATGTATGTATGTATGTACGTATGTATGTATGTGTATGTATGTATGTATGTATGTATGTAAAAATCTACGTTTGTATGAATGTTTGTTTGTTGGTTTGTGTGTATGTGTGCGCGCGTATGTGTGTGTGTGTGTGTGTGTGTGTGTGTGTGTGTATCGATCGTATCATTTAATATACTATTCGTGAACCACGCCCACCCGTCAATCACACTGTCTTTATCAAACATCTCAACCAATCGCAGCACGCGAGGCCTTTAAACCGACCAATCCTGATCGAGGATATGGTTTCCATTTTTAGTACTATTATTAATAAATGATAATATGGATGCGTGATTTGAATCAATGCTTCAGTTGGGTGGAAAGAATTTTTATTAAATTAAGCGCTTCATAAATTATTGTCGGTGTGAATATTTTCATTATTTACTCATTATTATTAATTAATTTTGTCGTCAACAAAAACATCAACCACAACATCAACAACAACATTAACAACAACATCAACATCAACGACAACATAAACAAAGTTGACAAAATGATGCCATTCCTAGACTACGGAACTTTCATCAACTATCCCTCTTACAACAACAACAACATCAACAACAACAACAACTACTACTACCATCACCAATCTCAAAACAACAACAACAACAACTTTTCTGACGTCATCATTCCAGCAGCGACAGCAGCGACAGGTACGTCATCGTCGTCCTTTTTTAAGCAGCACCAACAATACTTTTACGACACCAAGCGTTCCAATTCGACGTCTCCGCCAAGTAATTAAATTTCAACGTAATTAATATTAATGAATTATAATTATAATAGTAATAAATAATAATAATAATAATAATGATACTAAATAAGCAACTCTATCTTAATCATCATCACCACGCCATCATCATCATCTATAACATCATTATGACAAAAACCAAGTGCATGTTATTGTTGTCGTCATCATGATCATGATTATGATTATTATTGTTGTTATTATTGTTATTATTATTATTATTATTATTATTATCCAGATGCATTTTCAGTAAGCCCTCATCATCACCATTATCTTCTGCAGCAACAACATCAACAACAACAAAAACTTCTGCAACAACTCGCACACGGTAAATTACGTCATTAATAAATTATTATTATTATTATTTATTATTGCTGTTGTTATTTGTCGTTGTTGTTATTATTATTGTTGTTGTTATTTTATGTTGTTTCTCTTTCATATCGAAACAACAAAAAAAACAGCAGACAGCCATCTCAGCAACAACATCGTCGCCAGCCACACCAACCCCAACAGCAGCAGCAGCAACAACAACAACGTCATCATCATAGACGACAACAGCCACAACAACGTCAGCAGCCGAAAAGAACGCCGACGAAGCCACAACATCAACAGCGCCTTTTCAGCTCTTCGCGGCTGCATTCCCAATGTACCAACGGATACAAAACTTTCAAAGATAAAGACGCTACGCTTGGCCACTAGCTACATCTCATACCTGATGGATGTCTTAAGTAAGGGAGATAATGAAAATTGTGAGAGTTTCAACGCCGAGATCGTGAGGAATAGTGAGAGTAAGGAGGAGAAGAAGCGAAGGGAGAACGAGGTTTTTAGAATTTTAAAAAAATTTATGTAAAATTTACATAGCAAACCTGGCGTGAAAAACTTCCATTCGTCATGGATGTACACACAAATCTGCACAACTCCACAGTCTATTTTAACAGCAGAACATTGATCACTACGTACAAAGGCATTTGTTTTTTAAATGTATGTATGTGTGTATGTATATATATACATACATACATACATACATGAATGCATTTCATTCATTCATTCATTCATTCGTTCGTTCGTTCATTCATTCATTCATTCATTCATTCATTCATTCATTCATTCATTCATTCATTCATACAAACATATACACATGCATGCACATATACATGCATACATGTTCCATTATATTCGATGTCGAATCATATCATGAAGCACGGTATATATCAAAATTACCATTACTGCTGCTACTACTACTACTGCTGCTGCTACTACTACTACTGCTGCTGCTGCTGCTACTACTACTACTATTACTACAATATTGATAAGAATGATTATGACGATTTTGATGATAATGATAATAATGATGATAATAAATTATCGAAATGCATTCCAATAAACCAACAAAAACAATGTATGTATGTTTGTAATGTGCACCTACACATACATGTATACACAGACACATACATACAAACACATACATCCAAACATACCCAGACTAACTAACAAGTTTGCACACACACATACCATATCATTAATTCTAATTATGGGACTATTAATGAAACTATTAAGATGTCTCACGTATGTATATACATATACATACATATATATATATATATATATATACATACATACATACATACATACATACATACATACATACATACATACATACATACATACATACATACATACATTCATACATGCATACATACATACAATACAACCCCAATATTTATTATGGTGACCTCTGAACCGACCTGTTTATCTTCCTTCATCGTTCAATATCGTGTCAAGTCAAGGACATCACCATGCTCATTGACGATGTATGTGAAACGGAGGAAGTAAGAGAGAGAGAGAGAAAGAGAAGGAGAGAGAGAGGAGAAAGAGAGAGAGAGAAAGAGAGAGATTAGAATAGAACGAAAAAATGTTACGAAAAAATGTTTGAGTTTAAAACATAAAGAAAAGGAACTAGAGAACATAGAGAAAGAAAAAAAGGAGTGATTAAAGAGTAAAAAATTAAACAAAGGAATAAAAGAAAGAGAGAAAGAGAGAGAGAGAAAAGAGAGAGAGAGAGAGAGAAAGTGATAGTAAGATAAGAGTACTGGCATCCACATCACATCTCATTAACATTACAGTACAAGATAGAGTAATGTTGACATTGAGCAGACATGGGTGGGTATTATTGTTTTGTATGTTTTGGTATTTGCAACGGTCATATTTTTGATTTTTATTTTTTTGGTACCTACAAAAACCACACGCACACACACAAAACACACACATACATGCCCACACATACAAACAAACACATTTACAAACAAACATATACAGATCATTCATACAATCTAATTTACAATTGCTGTCACAGCTATTAACAATAACAAAAAGTTGTTAGCACGTCTTAAACTATCGGCAGTCGACATTTAGTCGGCACACACGCACACACACGCGCGCACGCACACACGCACGCACACACACGCATACACACACAAACACACACATCTACATACATTACGTTATGCCGGTTTGTTTATAAATTTATTTAATAAGAGACTTCTGAAAGATCAGGGAAGCAACAGGTGATCTTGTAATGATGATGATGGTGGCGGTGAGGATGATGAGGAAGCTGCTGTTGCTGCTGTCGCCACTGCTTCTGCTAACAATGATGATGATGACGATGACGACGATGATGATGACGATTCTAATAATTTTTAATTTTCACTATTTTAA